CGGTTTTTCATTTTTTAATTAACTTGTTGTAACAAGTATTCTACAATAATTTAACATTGTAAGCTTAAGTCTCATTGAATTTTTTGTGGCTTAAGACTTAAAGCTTAGATAATAACTTATTGTAGAAAGCCCCCAGACTTACACACATTCTATAATAAGCCATTAATAATAGAAATCAGAAGCTAGAAATTAACCAATCATAATCAATTATTCTTCTCACATTCCACTGAAATTGGTCAATTTCTAGCTTTTAACTTCTGATTTATTACTAATTGCTTGTAGAACATGTATTAGGGCAAAAGCACAGATTCTTGCATAAGACGTAACGCATAAGAAAATCAATCAGTCTTTTATTTTATAATAAGGTATAAGAAAATTAATCGGTCTTTTATTTTATTAACCAGACTTTCTACAATAAACTTTAAATTTTAAGCTGTAAGAACTCGATCAATCATAGCCAATTATTCTTCTGACATTCAACTGTAACTGGTCAATTTCATATGGCTTTAAGATTTAAGCTTTGGTAAATCCAGATCTACAATAAATTTTCAAGCCTTAAATCATATAAGAAACGGATGAATCACAGTCGATTATTTTCCTCGCTTCAATTGTAATTGGTCAATTTCTTACGGCTTAAGGCTTAAAACACTATTATAGATCCGAACTAACAGTTTATTGTAGAAAACTCATCATGGAAAGGAAGGAAACAAAAGACTTCGATGTTTCATTTTCGTACGCAAAACTGTGCTCTCGCCCTTAATCTGATGAAAATGTAAAGATTGTATTTTTTTAGCTATGATTAATCACTAAACTGATGATTTTGTGTAACTTTGTAAAATTACCACTATAAAACCATCAATTTAGTGATTAACCATAACTAAAATATATTCTGTGGTAAATACAGAGTTTTGCTTTGTCAGTGTTGGCGCGCGGAATGGCGCTGAATCCCGATCGAATTACAACAATCTCACGGAATCTCGACAAATCGCCGTTTCACAAACATCGAATCTATACCAAACGATTGCCGTCAATTAAATATCACAATACAGACTCGATAATGATTACAACTTACTAATTAAACTCGCATAATGCCGCCTGATTCGGAGTCGATCCATTCTGCATCCGCGATGTATTAACGACGACGAGAAATGACGAGAAATGACGAGAAATGACGAGAAATTGGCGAGAAATCGCGAAGCGGCGGCAACTTCACCCCATACAACACCAGTCAAGCTAACGGTTAAACGTTTCCGTTCCTATCGATTTCTTTTTTAGAAAAAGAAAAACATAAAACGTTCTTCCCGACTCAAAACAAATATCAGAAAAATTACTGTACCTGCGTAATTCATCTTTGAGCGGACTCGACTTATTTTTCGTCGAAATGTAACCAAATTACACGATGCAGTGCTGACGCCGCGCCGCGCCGCGCCGGCGGGCGCTCTCGCAATTTGAATCCAAGCCGTTCGTTGACTCGAAGAGTTTTGCAGGATAAACTCCAGGTGGCGGACGCGGCGCCTATACGATCGCAGGTGGCGGCAAATCGCGCGGTGCGTCGCGCGAGCGAGAGGTGAGGTTATCGATGTGGCGGAGCGAAGCGGAACAGCCAGAGGATGGGGACCGTGCGGGGGACCGCGCCAGGGGCCCCCAGGTGTAACTCATGTAACTCGCGCTCGCTCGAGCAGTGCACCGCCGTCCCATCTCGGCGTCGTACTGTCGCTGTTGTTTCCTTGCGTGTTTCTTCTCCTTTTCTTTTTTCACCGAATTCTCTATCAGGATCCTTTCCGAGCGTCTCTCCTAGGGTCACGGACGATGCTGTCCGGATAACCGGATTCGTGGAGCAGCGAGGGACGCGCGCGAAATGTCGTCCGAACGATTTCATAAGTGAGTGCACTTATCTTCTTTTTTTCTTCTATTCTTTATTAAGAGGATGCCGCACGCGGTTTTCTCTTTCTCGCTCTCTCTTTCTTCCGACTCTTCCTCTGCTCTTGTTTTCGTACGCGCTCGCCCATAGGACTTGTCCCGGAAAACGTAGAAATGCTGTGGAGCGAGATACTCGCCTTGGGATTGAAAAAAATATTACCTAGTCTTGATCGGCACGGAGCCGATCGCACGAAACGGATGCGATAACACAGGGAAAACAACTAAATACACTTCATAAATATGGTTTGTTCTTTTTGTCAATGTAAAATTAACTTGATTTAACTTATCTACTACTATTTATCTTTTTTTTTCTTAATTTTTAGAATTGTGCCGTTTTTATAAATGTTGATTAATTTTAATTTAACTTATTTTCTATTGTTTTCTGGTTCTAAGAATTAGAAAAGGATAAGGAATAAAATTAAACCAAGATTAAAGTTAATCTACATTGATAGAAACGGATATTACAAAAAGATTAAGAGTAAATTGAATCGAGATTAAAATTAATCTTCTAGTGAATTCGATTGGTCACGCTCAGTGCGAACTGGTTCACATTAAACCGTACACAAATTGCCACAAAGATGTGTTTAATATAAATATAGAAACCGGTTAAATCGTGAAATCCTCAATACACTTTATAGTGCTGTTATATAAAATATGTATTTTAGAGTTTGAAAATATATATTTTATAATTCGAGAAAATACATATATAATTTGCAATTTATTTTTACACTCACAAAATTAAAACAGTACAACGATTTTAATTTATATTATATATACAGTTATATAACATTCTTTAATCGCGTTCCAAATTTTTTCTTTCTTCTCCAAAAAAAAAATGATCGTGCAAAAAGTTCAATTAAAAAACTAGTTGATCTGATTTGTAAATCTTGCAAGACTTTTTTTTAATATATTGTAATCTTTTTCTTAACATTATTTTATACACTAAAAATGTGAATAAAATACAACATTCAACCCTTACAGAAATTTAATATTAAAGGATAGTGATAATTATTTACTTTGAGTAATAAAATCACTAAACAACGATGCTTTTACTCAAAATAAATAATCAATACCTTTCTAATATATAAATCCTTAGTACAGTTCGATATTTCTTATGTTCCATAATTCTTTCATAATGTATGAATTAAAATTTCGTTCCAGCGTTACGTAGAACGTCGAAAGATTTTTTAACAACATATACAATTCAAATAAATTGAACGATTCGCACGGATTAATGATAATCGTTCTATCTCATCAAGGAAATCGGATCAACATTTATCAAGCAACTGGAACGAAATGAGAAGACGTGAACCGAATCGAATCTTTCGTATTTATAATCACTAAGTGCAATGAGCTGTCGGAATAAATGGAGGCACATTATACACATAATAATTAATACATTGTGTTTTAACAACGTTAAAAATATTATTAAAATATCAATTGGACGGAGAAATAAGAGAGAGCTATGGTGATCCTCAAATGAATATACACATGCGGTTTATTAAATAAAAAAATTAAGAGATTTCAAATAATTATCCACTAGCATAAAATAACCATGATTATAGACTGTATCATGTATGTACATAGGAAGAGCGCGTGCGGAATTCATGCATGAGAGGAGACCTGTGCTCTTATTTCATTCACTACGGGAATTTATCACACAGATCATCTGTAAAAATTTCTAGCGGACCTAATCAACTTTCGTAGCAATAGAGAATGCTATACATTGCGCGATTTATGTATTAAAAGTCTGAATACTACACTACATTTATATCTCTCTATTGAATTTCGAGATATTTTTTTACCAAAATTGATTTTTAATTCACAAAACTGATTCTCCTCAAAATGTATGAATTCTTAATAATTAATAGTTTTAATATAAATATCCGTTCGGTTATCTAAGTTGTATTTCGTAATTAAATCTGAAAATGATAAGAATTGATGAAAATAAGAGCAAGAAATTTGCATTTGCAAATTTTTTAAAATCTTTTATATATATATATAATATATATATATATATTATTTCAAATACAATTTACCGTCTAAAATTAAGAAATACAAAGAAAAATTATAATATATCAAATTTGTATAACATGTTTTTATTATAGCTTGTATGAAGTTACACTGTTTAGAATAACAAAGGATTAATGTTATAACTCAATGACATTGATAAAGTAATGTGAAACGATATACGCTGAATCAGTTCGTGGAATGCAACATCGGCGAATCGAAAGTAGCTGTTGTCTCACCTGACAAATCGTGCATATTTTCCTTAACATCTCAATTTTCCTAATTAAAAGGAAAAAAAATGTGAATCTCTTGCATCGCGCTGTTGCAAGCACTTTAGTACTTTAATTAAAATATCACCACGGATTATCAGATGTTGAGACGCGTGGATATAATACTATGCGGAGCTCTTTGCCCGCAGAGATTTGCAATTTTTCCTCGAGCAACGCGACGATAATTATAAAAAATAACCTGGTTAAAATCAGATAAGGCATCACGCGATGCATCGTACGATAAAATAATAGATATAGTTTTCACAATACCGTACTCCGAATATCCTGAAAAAGTAAAAATATTTTTCTTATAAGAAGAGAAACAGAAGAAAGCAAAATATACTGCGCATATATAATAAATAAATATTTACTATCAATTAAAATTTATCCAGATTTGAAGTATACTGTATAGATACGTACATCTATCTTCATTTTTCTGTACATTTTTTATATTCATTAATAATAAGAAACTATTTAATAATAATAAATAATTATTGCAACAATTGCAATTAATTTAATTAATAATTGCATTTAATATAAATGAAATGATTTTTTATCAACCGGCATTACATAATTCTACTTGTTTGTGAATAATTTTTTAAATAAATATTAATATTTGTATTATTATATATATAAAATATTGAATTTTTAACGTATGGAATAAAACATGAGCCTAAAAACATCAGATAACTTATAAAGAATAATATAATATGCATATTCTTTATCGAAGGGCCGCGCAAGAAGGCACGTTGGATGTTCTGAAAGAAGCCACGAGAAAGGATTGTAACACGCGAGATGAAGGAGGAATGACCCCGACATTATGGGCAGCCTTCGAAGGCCACGTAGATGCTCTGAGACTGCTGGTCGCTAGAGGGTATGTGCATGCTTAATCTTATTTTTCCTTTTTACAGTGACCAAGTGTAACCAGCGTGTCGCATTTTACAATGGCATGCGATAGTTGGTGCATGCGACAAGACGTTTCTTTTTTAATATTTTTCTGACTACGTACAATGCATCTGATTATTGCAACTTGTTGCAGATTGACTTTACACAATTAATATTGCATATTTATAATAAATTATAAATATTAAATCGCACGTATGTATATAGTACGACGTTGAGCTTTTTCATTACAGAAGCACGTTTGACGAAAAATATAACTTCGTGTTTTGTCTACTCACACGAAACATTGGTGCCCATCAGGCACGAGGTCGTCGTGCCTCGTGAGCACGATAACCCCACTACTTCATAATTAATACTTGCCTCAACTGCAAGCCGCTCCAAAATACTGTAGTTCCTCGACACTTCCGGCCGTTTATCACGAATACTTTGTCGAATATTTGCAGACATTTAAAATAAACGTTAAAAATAATCACATCGATCTCTAGTAAGTTAACAAAACGATGGATGTCGATTCGAATGGTCCGCTCTTGAAGGTCCCATCGGGCCCTTAGTTCTGCTATTGTATATCGTAATAATACATGCACGGAACCGGAAGCACGCATTACAGGTGTCCATCGACTGCACAGTTGCGGAAACCGCGGTCGAGTGCATGAAAAACAATAGAACGCATACTGACAAAAGGTAGGTCGAAACAGACCTCCGAAACTCCACTACATTCATTTATGATACGAATAACGAGTGTTTCTGAATGAAAATGTCTATCTTTGTTTCTTATTCAAACACTCCAAGTTATCTTTTCTTTTCATATTCAAACAGTTCGATAAAAATGATCAATGAATTCTTATGAGATCACAGAAATTTTTTTATTTTTTTGTAAAACTAATTAATGTAATCAATGTAAAAATTAATTGTATGTCTAATTGTAAGAATTCTTAAAAATAATTTTTTATTGTGAAATTTCTCCGGAGATGAAAAAAATGTTCCTGATCTATTATTAGAAATAATGTAAAATATATCTTATTACATTTAAATATTTTTTGCCTTTCGAAGAGCAACAATACTTTATCAAATATCATGAAATAATAATCTTTCTCCTGACAAAAGAAAAAATATGTCTGAAAATTGTTCTTTTTACATATTCTTATATATGTATTTCCTCAACTCTCCTAACTTATTCTTCATTCAATCTTTTTTTCTTTGCTTATCATACCTCTTTATTCATCGAATTAAATATTGTTTTTAAATCAACAAACATTACAATCATTTTTTCTTTTTTTTTTCTATCTATCGATTTATCAAATGATTTATTCTCATATCATTCTCATATCTCTTCTATGATTTATTCTCATATCATTTTTATATCTCTTCTAAATCTGATTATATGGATTCGTCTTTTGTTTTCTCCATCTCTTTCTTCATTCTTTTCATCAAATATTCATGTAAATTTTAATTCAGCACAGACATCGTAAATCTTCTTTCATATTACTTCCATTCTCTTTTTTATTATCAGCATTACTAGTTTCTTCTTTGCATTTCTTCGGCAATCTCTCTCCCCTCCAAATCTTATTACACATTTTCTAAGTCCATTCCTTGAAGCCTCCATATTTCCACACTTTTCCCAGTATCCTATCTCAATCCCTATCTTATCCTTCAAATTCTCTTCCTATTCTCTTCCTCTCATCCTATTCATATCTTTCTCTCCTTCTTCTTTTTCCATTTCTCCTAATACCTCTATGAAATACTCTTACTTTTCCATCTTTATTTCATCTCTATTTACTCCTTTTCTTTTTTTCTTTCACTATTTAAATAATATAGGTAATATAAGTAATATTTTCCATACTTTACCCTCCTTCGCTTTTCTTCACTTCCCATCTCATTTTTTTCTTTCTTTTCCTCATACAGCTTCTTGTATCTTGTCCTATTTCTATATTCATTTTCTCTGTCTGTTTTCTTTTTATCTTCTTAACATCCCTTTTTGTTTCTTTTTTTCCTACATTTTTTATCCTACTGTCCTTTTTTCACTGTCCTCATCCCTTCTTTCAATTATTACCTCCTTTATCTTCCAGTTTCTTCTATTTCTTTCTAAATCTTTTTTAAAATCTTTTTAATCCCCCTCCCCTTTCTTCACAATTATTCAAATTCCCCTTCTTTCTTTAATTCTACTATTATATTAGTTGATGATCCGAATCCACTCTCTCCTTTATCTCTATTCTTTCTATCCTCTTTTTCTTATCCCCTTCTACTAATATGTCATAATCGAGCCTAATCCTCTCTTGCCTCTGTCCATTCTAGGAGTCCATTCTTCTTTCTTATCGACCTTTATATTTTCATTCAATATTATTCACCCTTTCTCAGCTATACATTTTTTATTTGTTTTTCTATCCTTCGATCTTCTTAATTGTAATTATCTTTTTTTTCTTCTCTTATTTCTACTTTTTTTCTTTAGTTTACTCTTGCCTGAACAATAAATAAAGATATTAATTATAGATAGGAATTAGTTCTACTCCTTTTGTTTTCTAACTTATAAGACGTCACGATTGTTTCATTGTAGAGGCGACCCGGACAAGACCGATTACTTCGGGAATACATGCTTGCACTTGGCAGCGGCGAGGGGCCACGAATTCTGCGTAAAATTCTTGATAAAATTTGGTTGCAATATCTGGTCGCTGGACATCGACCGGCACTCTGCCCGTGAACTTGCAGCGATAAACGGTTATGAGAAGATTCTACAGTTCCTAGATATCGCTCAAGCTGATCAGGAGTTAAATAATCGCAAAAAAAGCCGGATGCTCCGGGAAAAGGCGGAGAGAGATGCGGAGAAGAGGTACAGTTGTAGAATGTGATTTGTTTTTGCGTCTTCTACTTGAAAAGAGAGAATGAGAGAACATAATATCGCTGCCATTTGCGGATCGTTTCCATCGATTGAATCATTTCCATCAATTATGTTTCCGTGATAGAATACATATAATTTCTTTTTAATTTTTTACTTACTACGATTAGCATATTATATTATTATGAATTATATTAGATTTTAATCCGATTTCTTTTAACATTTTATTTTCTATTTTAAATATATATTAGGTGTTGGAATTAATTCGTAGCGTTTTTTAATGAAAGAATGTTATTTATTTCACATGAGCATTAAAAAATACATTAATGAAAGTACTTCCCATCACTTGTAAAACGCTACGAATTAATTCCAACACCTAATATAAAAATATCTTTTTGTTAAGATTGAAAGAATATATGAAGAAACAGAAAATGGCTGAAATTAGGGCGGAAAAAGAACAAAAGAAACTCATAAAAGATCGTGCTAAATCAGACTTCGACGCAATGAATGAGTTGAACTCTCAACGGCCCGGGGTACTGACCTTTAGAAGCCGAATGAAACCTTCGCCGACATTTAGCGACATCGTTGGTACCACTATGAAGAAACACGGCAGCACAGTTTGTCGGAAAGCTTTAGCTAAAAAAGCCATCAATGACTTTAAAGTCGTAGAGGTAAAAAATATACATAAATAACATAAGACTGTTGTACAGTTTTCATGACTCAAAATAAAAATATTAAAAAATGATCTAGAAGTAATTTTAAAAATCTTTAACGTCATAATATATATAAAAACAGAAATAATAAAAAATCAATATTTGGGAGTTAACTCATTCTACATGATTTGTTTAATGTTCAGTAAATATTACGTAATATTATATATGTTATTATAGGTCGAAGTAAATGGAAAGAAGTCGGTTCGAAGTCTCACTGGCGTTCGTCGGGATTCTGAAGTTATGTACGTAGGCACGTATGACACCCAGCCTCAACACATGGGCATTAGAAGAGGAAAGATCTCTGATGTATGGGGCACTCTCAGTAAATCCCAGAGCACGCCCGATCTCTTAGGTGAAAGGATATACGATGAGGAGGAGGAGGACAGAGAGGAAGAGAACTTGAATGTTGCGAAGGACACCACTTTTCTTCAGGAACCAGCTAGTATCTTCAATCGACCTGGTTTCGGTTCGGTGGCTTTCAGAAGGGCGGTTGGTCTTAACATTCATACCTTAAATTGAACTTACAGACATAAATAAACAATAAGTACTTTGTTTACAACGAAACTGATATCAAGCTAGAGGAAATTATAAACAAGGAAATTATTCTAAAACATAAATTTTCGTATATAGTATATGGAGCTACTTTTTATTTTCTTTAGAAATTTCGACTTATAGAAAATTTATACAAGTTACGTTTTTTATTTTTATAATCATTTTAATGTCATGCTTTTTATACACTGTAATCTCTTCATCTCCACAAATGTAATAGTTCCGCATGATTACCTTCGTAATAACTACTCAACTCGTAGAAATCGGCTTTAATATTATGCAGTGTTTTCTTTTATGACAAGATAGCTATCGCTTGTTTCATTTGAATCATGATTCCAAAGAAACAAAGAAATTAATTATGGGAATCGTTGCAAAAACGCTCTAATGATCTTTTAAACGATTACAGCATAGAAATACGTAATAGATATTCATCGGATGCGTTAATAGCTTAATTATGTAACAAAGTGTGAATAGATGGAAAATACATTAGAAGCGCTAATTATTTTTTTATTTGTGTGTAAGTTAATTCGTAATTTTTATAGATAACATCTACGCTGGATAATCTACCGGTCACGCAGACAGATGTTCATCTACAAAACAGCAATCTTTCTGCAAATGGTTCTACAAACGGATCCATAAGCAGTAATAAGTTCAGCCCAAACGGACACAATGAAGAAATTAGTATAGGAAGTGCTGGCAGTTTGGCACGCAGACAAAGCTTGTGGGACGAGGATCTTCTTTCAGGTAAGTTTAATGAACCTTGTTACAAAGTACAATTGGAATACTTATGCAACTTTAACAATGCATTCTATGTTGTAAGGAACGATGCACGATAATCAATCATCATCTTTCCTGATTTTTTCGTGTTTTGTGTGAAAGAAAATCAAAATACTACAGTATTGATCTACAGAATTTATCTATAAACAGAAGGTGAAGAGACAGACGAGGAATGGACGCCTTTGCAGAGATTTTTAGTCGCCAATAATCTTACGTCCATACATCCTATTTTGGAATCGGAGCAAATCGATCTGGAAGCTCTGATGCTGCTCACTGAAACAGACATAGCGGCCCTCAAACTTCCGCTTGGTCCGAGACGAAAACTCACTAATGCAATCGCCAATCGAAAAAAAGCGCTGAGCACGCCGGAGAATGTTATCAAGGACAGTAGATTGTGAAAGTAATATATTGCATAGCCATAGAGATGAACTGCTGGTAACAAAATTATCCATCCACAAATACGATGAAGTAGCTATTAATGATTTATATACAAGAGATAAAAGTAGGAAATCATTTTAAAGGTGAAATTTTTAACATGAAATATAAAATGGAGATTTTTTTGAAGATTGCAAAAAAATAATCATTTGACATAAAAAAAGTTAAAAAATTATTAAATTATTCAATATCAAAAGGATTTTAATATCATACTTTTTGTGTCTTATAGTTTGTCCAGATATTTTCCTATGTCATTACGAATATATTTTCCTATTATACAGAAATTATGCATTTTGCAAATTATCTCCGTATTCAAATCTTAGAATGCCAACGTTTCGTAAACATAGCAGTTTACTTCATCGGAGCGAGGAGTAGTCTGATACATGATAACTCGCGAAACGCATAATTTCTCTATAGAAAGTGCCCGTGAAAGCCTCGAGAGTATTATATTTTCTTACTATATATATTTAATTGATCACATTGGCTGTACACAATCGTAATTATGTAAATAATCACCAAAAAAATTTATATTAAAATAAGAAAAAATAAGAAAAAAGAAGGGAATTAAGTTCCGATTAGTACATTAAATGAAATAGATTAAGTAAGATAGAACGAACAGTTCATGCCATAATCAAAGAAACAAAAAATCAATAACACTATATTACACTGCCATAAAATATATTGTCGTTAATAATGTTCTACTCAACATCAGCCTGATCTGTTTAACTAGATATGTGTATCATATTGTATTAAACACGAAATTTCAGAATTTTCAGATATGTAATAAAAACATATATTTATCTCAATTTTTAATAGCATTAAACAATATATTTAATAGCGTTAAACAATATATTTTTTTCACAAAAAAATTTAATATCAAAATTTAGAACTTAAAATATTACTAAAATAAACCGTAGATGCACAATATCAAAACTTGTGCTTTCCATCATTTATATATGTCCAAGATATAGTCATTAAACTTTGCTGCTAAACATTAATAATAAAAAAACATTGACATTGTTCATCTTTTAAAATTCATGCGATTTTTAATGAATGATCGTTAAGTGCATGTGATATATTAAATTCTTATCTAGTTTTAGACTTTGGTACTAATTATGGATTATATTATGGATAGTTATAGATTGCAGTATGTTATACATTAATTTTATGTAATGTCGTGTATAGTACATATTGTATTCACAAACAGTGCAAAATGTACAAAATAATTATATGACAATAAAGTATGTATATATATACGATAGTTTCTATTCAAAGGGTTGTAAAAGAAAAAGTGTGAATGTAGATAGGAGGACGCCATGACAAATTTCGTTTTCTCGTGATTTATTTGTAAATGATTATCTTACAAACAAGAGGCGCAAAAATATACAAGCTTCTTATGTTCGCAAGAAAGTAACAGCACCATTTCACGCCTTGCCATGAACGCGTCGTGCCCGACCAAGGCGTCATGTTCGTGCAAGTCTCATGTCACGGTACACTCGTTCTCGCGATAGTGCACCAATGCAACTTGCAGCAATGTGCATCGGAATAACAAGAAAAGAAAAGAAAAAGATACGCTCGTAAAAAATTTTTTGGTGCCTTGCGTCCGTTAGACGTACGCGTTTATACGTTCCTGCGTATTATGAACGTATCAATATAACTGTGAACAATATAATATACAAGTGCTCCCTCCTGACTCTCTTCACCTCCGCTTTTAAACCTATGAATACAATATTACACCGGTCCTTATATTGTATCGTACTGATTTTGGTATATTCTCAAATACGTATTTCTGCGTTTTTTTTTTTTTAGAAATGTCTGTTAGGCGCCTTCATCGTCTCACATTATTATACATTTATATATTTTTATATATTTTCATATAAACATATCGTTAATATCTCATGAACACAAAATGATATTTCATACAAATATTTTTTACAATTAAAAATTATTCTTAATTCTTTACGACCTGCATTTGCAGCAATTGTCGAATTTATTAAGCTATTAATTTTGAATTAGGTGTATTATAATATTTAATACGAATTAAAAATTACGTAACATGTCCAAACTTAATTATATCTTCATCAACAAAATCATTTTAATTTCATATTCGCTCGATGTGCATCATACCTATGTATAATCTTATAACGGCTAACAGATTTCCGACGAGATAATTCTTCCATGAGAAAGCGAAAGCTTCCTCGCGTGTGGGAAAATTTTTTCGTCGACCTCCAAGTGTCGTCTCGTGCTCATGGGTGACTATTACGCAAGACAGAAAAATGCCATTATACCGGCGAAACCGAGTACTCAAGTTGCTTACTTGCTAATGAAAAAAGAAGAGCACACAATTGTCATTGATTTGTCTACTTGAGAGCGACTCTCGGAAGTAAAGAGAATGAGAAGATGCGAGCGAGAGAGTAGCTCTCCACAGTATTTTCCAGTGAGTAACGTATGACTCTCTCAAGAGTAACTCTCGAGAATAATTCTCGATATTTCTCTCAAATGAATATTGTATATATAGACGTCACGATCAAGGATGGACGTTCGATTATGCAGTTAGAAGATGTACCACGAACACATGGAACGGAAACGAAAACAGATCGGTGTTTCATAAAGTTGCTCCCGTCGTCGGGTTGGTGCGCTCGCTTACGGGTAAAGTGTACCTAAGTATGGCATCTTCGCATACGATAATACCTATGTATTACTTTCTTCTATATTAGAGTTATACGAAAAAAACAACATTTACATGGAGGATACTTCCGACAGCTGGAACAGGCGAAGGAAGAAACGTGTTAAAAACGATGCGAACGTACAAAGTTTTCAATTATCAATCTGTTTTTTTTTTGCATTCATCGTGAAAGCAACACCTTTCTTCCGTGATCGTTTAATTCGCATGTATAGTAAACATGTAAATGATTCGCTCGCGAAAAATAAATTCTCCACGGTTGTTGCGTGTTCTCACTGGCGTAAGGTTCTCGGACCCTGCATCGCGTCGATGATCGATCTCGTTTCGGGGAAATACTTAAGTGAATCGAAAGCAGAGTCCTCAATTAATTCTGTTAACTGCCGATCGCACGGTATTGATAAATATTGTTAAAGCTATCGCATAGTAGTAAATACTAATGATAATATCAGCGATATATCTATGTTTATTGTTTACCGTTATTAGCATACGCTATATTTACAACTGAACAACAATTTTTTTTATTCCTCTCGCGAGTGACGCTTGAACAATCTTGCGAAGAAACGAATAGAAATGTACGTTAACTTCTAACATAATTTTCGAAGTGCGATTCGCAGACAAACGTGTAGATCGTGATCTTATATGTATAAATCGAGTCGCAATTAGTGTGCCCGATGAATACACCTAATATTTTAGTAAATGAATGAATAATGAATCTGAATACGAATATGAATACTAAAGTTTAATCGAAATTTTTACCGAAACTGAACCGAAACACTCGGCTACATGTCAATTTCAATTGAAATTGAAATCAAAATTAAAAAATAAGAATTCTATAAAGACCATTCTATATATCAGACATGTCTATATATCATATACTTTTTCTTTATAAATATCATAACTTATTGAAATAATAATTCGATCAAAAAAATTGAAAACCGAAATTTTAGTTATGTTAATTTTGACCTTCTTTATAAACATCATAATTTAATTATTAAAACAATAATTACATATTAAAATTACATATTAATATTAATACTACATATTAATATTAAATAATAATTACAATTAAAAATTTCGATAAAAGTTTCGGTCGGATTCTAATAAATACATTTTTTGTGATTCATCGAGAAACGTATAAGTAAACGAATAAATACTTTTAATTCAATTTGAATTAATATTTTTATGATTACGAATATTTTTGATTTCATTCTTACTCTGCATTATCTCTAGATAATTTGCAAGCATAGAGTAAACAGAAAATATAAAAATAAAAATAATAAAACTCGCGACAGAATATATAATATTCAGACTTCAAATTCTATAGGAAGTATTCATAGTTGGATCTTATATTTAAAACCATTTTAATCTTCAGATGTTATCAAACAGAAAACAGAGATCTAATTTTAAGACGGTTTTAAAATTAAAAACATACTATAAATACCTGCCCTGCAAGTTCTTTTTTTAAATTACATAATTATTCATACGTTTCTGATGCATTCAATTTTTCAATTAACATTAAGCTCGAGAAAAACATATTCTTAAGGAATATAAAAAAAAATATGAGTGTAACAGAATTAACATTATTACAATTGCATGATTTCCACATTTAACTGAAGATTACAAATTGCATTTGTAACTCAATTATAAATTGTATTCATCAGGTATACTAATCACAAGAGATGAGATAAATAACAGTCTACTAATTCGTCTGCAACATCTTTGAAAATTCAGATAGAAGTAATATGAGGCGTAGTTAAAAATAATGTACATTTACAATCATCACCTTCATTGGAAAGGGTGAAGGCTCTCACTCTCTGGCACAAATTGTTAAACGCAATTGTTAAGCGCTTTTCTTTACATATAATATATATATATAAAAGATATATTTATGTATATATATATATATATATGTATATATACATATATACACGTATATATATATATTGCAATCATTATCACACCTGATAAAGTCTACGTTTATGTAAGTTCTATATAGCGAACACATTACGCTCTTGTAGAGCTATGGAATATTAAATTCATTTTTTCTTAGTAGAATGTTAACGCAGACCTTGTTCAGGATGTAAAGCTTGGTATCTGCCTGATTATTCTCTTCTCTTAATAACCTACGCATCAACAAAAGATAAACTAAATTTATATTAACGCTTTGCTTTTTTTTTTCTTCAACATATCGAATTCTTAAAACAGACACGCTTGTTTTTTATTTTGCGCTTTGTCTGCTTCTCGCACAATAGAAATTCTTATACTAAAAGTTTGGTTTACCACGGCAAAAACTCATAATGAGATCTTTAAGAATTATTTTTGATGCCTTCGTAACATACACAGCTAGTACTTTTTTCATGTAGCTGAAAAATAAAATATCTTA